GGCTGTCTGGGAAAAAGCACCCACCGGAGATGATGCAACCATAGTGCAAGGGGCGAAGTTCTCAGCTGGCTGGGCCTGCTGGCAGCTCCCAGAATAGCCCAGGAATGTCAACAGGGAGGAAAGAGTGGGCATAGCCTGGCCTGGGAGCACGGCTCCCACGAGGCCTGAGAGATGAGTAGCACTGCCTGGGCACCAGCAGCACCGAGCAGATGGCACTTTCCTCCAGGCACAGGTGCACTGTTCATGCTCATGCATGCTGATGGTGCACACGCGCTCGCTTGCACAGATGCTCAGTGATACATACACATCTGCACACTCCCTTGCAAACACATGTTCAGTCCCCCATCCCAGATATTTGGATACATGCTCCGTTTGTGGACGTGCTCACACATGCACTGCATGCCCATTTCCCTGCCTTTTATTCCATGTTCCCACACTGAAAGTGGAATGTTTCCTTTCTGGCTCTCAGGGCAGGTTAAATTACCCACAGCCCTCAACCCATGGAGACCAGGTCCTGACACTCTCCCCACATGCAGAAAGCTGGAAGGAGTCCCAGGCTGCATCACTGAGTGGCACTGGCCCGGGTGCCAGGCCAGGGGGACTGTGTGAACATCTGTCACCGCCACCTCCCAGAAGCCACACCATAGCTTCACACATACAGGAAAGGGAAACTGAGGCACGATGCCGTGCTGAATTCCCCCTTCCCTGACAGATCCACAGAGCCAGGATCAGGGCTATGGCACAGCATGAAATGGGAGGTGAAGAGCTGTGGCAAAAAGGGCAAATTACTCTTTAACCCATCATCCTTTCCAGGCTGGGCAGAAGGGTTTTCCCCAAAGGGATTAATCCCTTTGAACTTGCCAGGATTCCTCTGCACAGGCCAGTACCCCACAGCTCCTGCCATGAACCCCCATTTCACCTCTGGCTTAGTGAGAGCATCCGACCTGCCTGCCCCCTCTCACCGTAGCTGCATGCCCCCCCTATGCACTCTGGCCCACCAAATCTAGGCCAGGGGTCAGCATGGAGCTGTGAGTGGTTCTTGCACCCATTGCATAATTGTGTTGTTGATTAAGCAGTTCCCAGAAAGCAAAGCCCAGGGACCGTCCTGACCAAAATACCACCCCCAGGTCCCCCCAGGCCCAGCACTTGCTGCACACATGGCTTCTGGGCCTCTGACCTCGTGTCCGATGGGGCAAGCGTGGCACCTGGCGACCTGACCTAGACGTGCCAATGGACTGGGTTAAGCAGGGACCCCCCAAGAGCTCATGCACAGCACCTGAGCACAATGCCAGCCAGGCAAGTGCCAAAGCCAGCGGCGACCAGGTTCTGGCACTGAGAAGCTTCCTCCCCACAGACTCCTCTTCCCTGCAGCACGCACTGGAGGCCGCAGGCTGGGGCAGGACTCGGGAGCAACCGGGCTGGCGGCACAGCAAGTGCTGGAGCAGGCGCGGAGCCGGAGGGCGCCGCCGATGCCCCCGGGCCGGGGGGCCGGCACGGAGCAGGAGGGGAGGGCAAGAGGCCCTCCGAGGTCCGGCCGTGGGAAGGGAACGAGGCCAGGGCTCCGTGCCAGGGAGGGAAT